CGAGACTCCGTCTAAACAAAAAAAAAAAAAGAAAAAAGAATGTACTCTTGAAACCCTTTGTTTCACTCTCTTCCCTCAGATACTCCTTGTAACCAATGCTAGCTTATCTCATTATGGGCCTGTTTAGAAAACTCCAGGGGGGCTAATTTTGAAAATAAACCAAGCATTGGCGGCGGTGTGGGGCTCCATGCCTGTAATCTGCCAGCACTTTGGAGGCCGAGTGCAGGGTGAATTATTCTGAGGTCAGTAAGTTCGAGACCAGCCTGGCAACAACATGGCAAACCTCTCCACGAGAAACAAAAAAAAAAAAAATATATTATATATATATATAATTAGTACTAAAAATATAGCGGGCATGGTGGCAGGCACCTGTAATCGCCAGCTACTAATGGGAGGCTGAGGCAGGAGATCGCTTGAACCCATGGGGCGAGTTGCAGTGAGCCGAGATCAGTACCACTGCATCCCAGCCTGTGGTGACAGAGAGAGACTCCGTCCTCAAATAAATAAAAAGGAAGGAAGAAGGGAGGGAGGGAGGGAGGGAGGACACGAGAGGGAGGAAGGAAGGAAGGAAGGAAGGAAGGAAGGAAGGAAGGAAGGAAGGAAGGAAGGAAGGAAAATAAACCAGGCATGGAGATCCAGCTACAGAATTCTCCCTCACCTAGAAGGATGGTCTCAAGGTGGATAAGCTACACTTCAGCCAGACATGATGGCCCCCACCTGTGCTCTAGGGGACAATAACTCAAAATAGCCACCGGGAGAAGACACATAGACTCTGTACCCTTCACTACCCCTGCGTGCTCCCCATGCCAAGTTTCCCTTTTTAAACCCCTTCACTCAGCCCTAAAACTTAAAATGGTCTCTGGGAGGCATGAGCCTGGTCATTTCCTAACTGCTAACATTTAAAGAAAATTACTTTCCTTTCACCACACTTCACTTCTTGCATTTTGGCTCCTGACTGGTGAGCAGCCAGATTTGTGTTCGGTTACGTTAAGATGGCCTTTCTCTTTTTTTTTTTTTTTGAGACGGAGTCTCTCTCTGTCGCCCAGGCTGGAGTGCAGTGGCGCGATCTCAGCTCACTGCAAGCTCCACCTCCCAGGTTGTCACCATTCTCCTGCCTCAGCCTCCCGAGTAGCTGGGACTACAGGTGCCTGCCACCACGCCTGGGTAATTGTTTTTTTGTATTTTTGATGGAGACGGAGTTTCACCATGTTAGCCAAGATGGTCTCAATCTCCTGACCTCATGATCTGCCTGTCTCGGCCTCCCAAGAGATGGCCTTTCTTTTAGAAAATAATTGAGACAGTGGATGTGTGAGGTTTTCTTGTCCTTCATAACCAACATTTTAAAATTTACTATTCTATAATTTTTTATTTCCAATTTTCAGGCCCAAAAGATTCAGGATTGAAGACTGTTTCTCTCTCTCTCTCTCTTTTTTTTTTTTTTTTTGAGACAGAGTCTTGCCCTGTCGCCCAGGCTGGAGTGCAATGGCATGATTTTGGCTCACTGCAACCTTCACCTCCCCAGTTCAAGCGATTCTCTTGCCTCATGACCGGCTAATATTTATATCTTTAGTAGAGACGGGGTTTCACCATGTTGGCCAGGCTGGTCTCCAACTCCTGACCTCATGATCCACCTGCCTTGGCCTCCCAAAGTGCTGGGATTACAGGCGTGAGCCACTGTGCCTGGCCTATTTCTCTTAATGAACAAGCTATAGTGCTCAGTTGGGAGGACATTCAGGTTCATACTTGGCCAACAGAACTGTGTTGGTAGCCTACTCTTACTGGAATACATCCGATAACACAGTGTGTATCATAAATGCACCAAACAGTAAGAATTATTGCAGCAATTACAGAAGAAGCAGTGCTAAATTTTAAATAGAATGAAAGATTAAGCCCTTGGATTATTTGATAATCATATTAATAAAGAGAAGTAAATCTTATCAATATAAGTATTAAGTACTAAGTAGTTGTATATTTCACAATATAAGTAAATCTTATATTGAAGGAATAGATAAAGTCTGCGTAATAAGAGCTCAGTAAATAGCAACTTCTATGAGCAACAGGACAATATTATGTCCCTGGCATTTGGACTTAGACAAAAACCTTTGTTGAATCACAGCCTGTCCAGGTATGCACTGTGTGACCCTGAGCAGGTCACGTCATCTCTCTGACACCGTTTCCTAGTATGTTGGGTGGTGAAAACTCACATTACAGAGGCCTGTGGGGGTACAGAAGTCAATCTGTGCAACGAGCTCAGCACGTGCTGAGTGCTCAGGAAGTTACAGCCACTGGAGTTAAAATCACTACCATAATGGTGAAGAGCCCTGGCAAACGCTGCAGTCTCCATTCTCTCCACTGAGAAATCCGAAGGGCTGATCAGCTCCCCTGTCTTTCCCAAACTAGGATCCCAGGAGTTAGAGATGGTGGTGCTTAGGTGGGTGCACAGCAGCATCTAGTGGACTAGAAGGAGAACTGATGAGGTGTCACAATAACATTGGGAAGAGGAAGTTTTTTTTGTCTGTTTGTTTGTTTTTGTTTTTGTTTTTGAGACGGAGTCTCGCTCTGTCTCCCAGGCTGGAGTGCAGTGGCACGATCTCGGCTCCCTGCAAGCTCCGCCTCCCGGGTTCACACCATTCTCCTGCCTCAGCCTCCCGAATAGCTGGGACTACAGGCGCCCGCCACCACGCCCAGCTAATTTTTTGTATTTTTAGTAGAGACGGGGTTTCACTGTGTTAGCCAGGATGAGCTCCTGACCTCGTGATCCATCCGTCTCAGCGTCCCAAAGTGCTGGGATTACAGGCGTGAGCCACTGTGCCCGGCCGAGGAAATTTTAAGGCTGGGGAAAAGGTTGGCAGAGAAGTCAGGAAGGAGGCCTGCACGTGCTGGGTGTCCCCAGCGGGGAGATCAGAGGAGGTCCCTTAACAGTTATCAGGACCTCAAGCCCCCATGTGCTAGCTGAGGGCGTCCTTCTCCCTCTCCCAGGCCTCCCTAGTTGCTGGGTCTCTGGATCCTATGGGCTCAGGGGCCCTTCTTTTTCAAGCTCTGTTCCACATGTCTGTGTCCAGCTGAGGGCACTGACCGCACTGCCCTAGTCCCCAGGGCTCAGATGCCAGGACAGTAGAAAGCTCTGTGCCAGGGCAAAACCTAGGTGTCCCCCATGGCTCTGGTCCACACATTGGCAGCTGGGCCTTGTGTCCCTCTGACACCAGATCCTAGGGTTTCTGGCTCTGCCACCTCTGCTGTGATGCTCCATTCCAACCATGTGGCTCAACAGGGAGGGGCACTACACACTGTCCTTTCCCCCTGCTCCACATTCCTTCTGCCTTCCTGCACGCCCTGCACAGGAGCCCTCTACCCTCCTCCTTCTGTTAGGAGAATTCAGAAGATACCAACTTTCTCCTCTTTTCCTTTCTGTAGTGGAGGTCCCGGCAGGATCCCCTCATGAGCTGTGATGGTCAAGTGGGAGAAGTTGTATTGAGCTTGAAGCACAGGCAGGTCCCACAACAAATGCTCAAAAAATGGAAGCCTCTGCCACCATCTGCCTCATCCCATCAACCCAAGGAGAAAAGAGCCCGCCTTTTCTGGGAAGAACGTTTATATATTGATAGAAATTCCTTGGTTTTATTTATCACCGCCAGTCGGTTTTAAGGATGCAAGTATATACACATATACATATGTATCTAAAACATTAAGTTTTGAAAAGTAGGTTATTAAAGGATATGTACAAGACACTCTAGATTTTTTTTTCTTTTTTCTTTTTTTTTTGAGATGGAGTCTCACTCACTCTGTTGCCAGGCTGTAGTGCAATCTCGGCTCACTGCAACCTCCGTCTCCTGGGTTCAAGCAATTCTCCTGCCTCAGCCTCCCAAGTAGCTGGGACTACAGGCGCTCGCCACTGCACCCAGTTAATTTTTGTATTTTTCGTAGAGACAGGGTTTCACCATCTTGGCCAGGCTGGTCTTGAACTTCTGACCTCAAGATCCAGTCACCTCAGCCTCCCGGAGTGCTGGGATTATAGGCATGAGTCACTGTGTCTGACCAAGATACTCTAGATTTTTAAAATAAATATCCATACCCCACATGCTCAAATATAAACTGAACCCGTAATCCAGCAGCTTAGCAGCCTAACCTCAAACCGCATTTTAAAACTTTTTTTCCTTTCCGCTTTCTTCTCCCCTGCTAATCTGAAGATGTAACTTTGAGACAAATGCAGAAGTGTCTTCTCGCCTCTTGAAATCAACAATAACAACAAAAAGAAATCCAGCCTTGGAATGTGCTGTGAACCTCCACCCGCTTTCTTTTCCTATTCTATGTCCCCATGCCTTATGCACATTTATTTACCTAGTTGTTTGGTAAGCACACACCATACTCACTTATCTGGTCACATATTTCCTTAGAAGTTTCAGTAGTCAGATCCTGATGTGAACCATGCACCTCCTCCAGCCATGATGGCGCCGGCCACTTTCACAGATGGAAAAATAATTCAAGACAAGCCACTGATCATACCACCTGACACCTCCCAGCCCCCCTGCCTCTTTTGCCTTCCAAATCCGCTCTTTCATATGCCAAAAAAAAAAAAGAAAAAAAACCAAAAAACAAAAACCTGTTTTTTTTCCAGCCAAGTGCGGTGGCTTCAGCCAAGTGCAGTGGCTCACGTCTGTAATCGTAGCACTTCGGGAGATCAAGGCCGGAGGATTACAAGGTCGGGAGATGGAGACCATCCTGACTAACGCAGTGAAATCCTGTCTCTACTAAAAATACAAAAAATTAGCCGGGCATGGTGACATGTGCCTGTAGTCCCAGCTACTCCGGAGGCTGAGGCAGGAGAATTGCTTGAACTCAGAAGGCGGAGGTTGCAGTGAGCTGAGATTGCACCACTAAACTCCAGCCAGATTGGGCGACAGAGCAAGACACCGTCTCAAAAAACAAAAAACAACACCAAAAAAAACCTGTGTTTTTCTCATATGGAAGAGTGGAATTGCTCTCTGCTCTTGCTCTTGCTAGCACAGATTATAAAATTCTTGCTTTTTAAAATCACATGTCATTATTATTTTGACTTCTTTCTACAAGCAGTGAGCAGCTGGGCCCTTTGGCTAGTTACAACGTGAGTGACTGGGGCAAATATATCAATTGAGGTTTATCAAGCCAGATTTAGGTTGTTTCTGGGAAAAACAGGAGCCAAACATGCACCTGTGGCTATTTTTCTGAAGAGGTTTTCAGGAGGTTTCCTATTGTTTTTAAGAACCTTCATTTTATTGTATTGTATTGTATTGTATTGTATTGTATTGTATTGTATTGTATTGTATTGTATTGTATGTAAGTATGTATGTATCTATCTATCTATCTATCTATCTATCTATCTATCTATCTATCTATCTATCTATTGAGATGGAATCTCGCTCTGTCATCCAGGCTAGAGTGCAGTGGTGCAATCTCGGCTCACTGCAGCCTTTGCCTCCCGGGTTCAGGCAATTCTCCTGACTCAGCCTCCCAAGTAGCTGGGATTACAGGCGCGTGCCACCACGCCAGGGTAATTTTTGTATTTTTAGTAGAAATGGGGTTTCACGGTGTTGACCAGGCTGATCTCAAACTCCTGACCTCAAGTGATCCACTTGCCTCAGCCTCCCAAAGTGTTGGGATTACAGGCGTGAGTCACCATGCCCGGCCGGGGATCACAGTTTTTAAGAATGATTTGGTGGTTATGGGCTCAGGAAGTAGGGAGTGCTTATTGGTTGGGTTGGAGATGGAACCATGGGGGTGGAAGTGAGTTCTTGCTGATTTCTCTTCCTGGATGGGATCACAGGACTGGTTGGGCCAGATTTTCAGTCTGGGTGGTGTCATCTGCTGCATCGGAATTCAGGGTCTGCAAAATATCTCAAGCACTGATCTTAAGTTTTGCAACAGTGATTTTATTCCCAGAAGCACCTTGGGGAGGTTCAGACTCTTGCAGCCAGAGGCTGCATGGCGCCTAAACCGTAATCTCTCCTCTTGTAGCTGGTTTGTTAGTCCTACAAAGGCAGGACAGTCCCCAGGCAAGAAGGTTTTATTTTTTCAGGAAAGGACTATTACCAGTTTTATTTCAGAATTTAAACTATAAACAATTCTTCCCCAAGGCTAGTTTGACCTATGGCCAGGAATGAACAAAGACACCTTAGAGGATGAGAAGCAAGGTGTGGTCGGCTAGGTCTGATCTGTTTCACTGTCATAATTTTCTCAGTTATGAGTTTTGCAAAGGCCGTTTCAACGGGGTGACTACAGCAAGTTAATTTTCCTCCTCTTTCTTTTGGTTTACCCAGGGGCAGGTGGAGTCAGAACTGTCCAGCAGGCACTGAAAGTAAAAAGGCTGTGATAAACCACCTAAATGTCTAGCTAGGCTAGTGGGAAAGGTGTCTCCTGCACATCAAGGAGTAAGGGGATCATCCTTGGTTTGTTCTGTTTTTCTCCCCCCAGTTGCAAAGCTGTCCTGCAGCCTCAACAGTGGCAGAGGGACCTAAAGCCCGGAGAAATCACTTGGCTCACTGGGCAGAGGAAGAGGAAAGAGACTTCTGTGTCTGAAAAGTATGGGGGAAATCTCTTTTTGTTTCTTCCCGTACTTCACTTGAAAGGCTGACCCAGATGCGTGTAACTGCACAGCAGCACAGGGGGCTGCAACATTGATAGATACATGAAAATGGAGCCCTGCAGAATCCCGCAGAGGAGAAAGCTAAACGGGATCACTTAAATGGATGTATGAACTAACGTAAGTCCTAGGATCACCCTGAGCTATGCATGCACAGAATGGACTTACGATCACCCTGAGCTATGCATGCACAGAAGCAGAGCAAGGGCTTTGAGAACTGAACTATAATATAAACCACCACTCAACTCCCAGATTTACCCAAGTGGTACATGAGCCATTTGGACACACCAGCATAGCAATGGCTTGAAAACTGCACTGAGACTGGAACAACTGCCAAAGAAAAAAGACGGGCTGGGGTGCAGTGGCGTCACAGCGTTAATCCTAGACTTGGGAGAGGCCAAAAAGGGGGGGATCACAAGTGCAGGAGTTCAGACCAGCCTGGCCAACATAGTGAAACCCCATCTTACTAAAAAATACAAAAAATTAGCCAGGCATGGTGGTGGTGCCTGCAATCCCAGCTACTTGGGAGGTCTGAGGCAAGGAATCGCTTGAACCCAGGAGTTGAGGCTGCAGTAAGCTGAGATTGTGACCAGTATGAGACTCTGTCTCAGGAAAAAAAAAAAAAGAAAAGAAAAGAAAGAAGACAGAACATGTGGTTTAACCTAACAAACTATGTTGAATGATCAATACAGACACAACAATAACACAAAAATGAACATTCTCTGGCAAATTTAGTAAGAACCAGAATCTCACACATAATAAGCAAACTGTCCAGGATACTCTCCAACAATTAGCAGTAAGAACATAAGACCAACTCTGACAAACTCTCAGGAAAAGATAATCCACAATCCAGCCCTTGAAATGACCACATGAAGGAACAATTTATGCTTTATTAGAAGTTTGGTTAAAATTTAATTCTAGTGCCAGGTGCAGTGGTTCACGCCTGTAATCCAGCACTTTTGGGAGGCCGAGGCAGGCGGATCACAAGGTCAGGAGATTGAGACCATCCTGGCTAACAAGGTGAAAACCCCGTCTCTACGAAAATACAAAAATAGCTGGGCATGGGTGGTGGGCGCCTGTAGTCCTAGCTGTTCCAGGAGGCTGAGGCAGAGAGAAATGGCGGTGAACCCTGGGAGGAGGAGCTTGCAGTGAGCCGCCGAGATGCCCACTGCACTCCAGCCTGGGCACACAAAGCAAGACTCCATCTCCAAAAAAAACGAAAAAAAAAATAATTCTAGTTAAAGTGGATAATGAGATTTAAAATTAGAGAGAAAGCATCATTATAACCCATTCTCAAAACTATAAAATAAAAGGTAAGTACTCTTAAAATTAATGGAAAAGATTCAAAGTCCTCAATCAGAAAGAGAAGAAATATTTTTTTAAAAAAGAAGCAAATGGAATCTAAAATGCATGTACAACATCTAAAAATGAAAAATGTACTGATTGGACCTCATATAGACTGGAGAAAAAAATAACAATGAATGAAGACAGTTAAATAGAAATGATACAATATGAAGAACAAAGAAAAAATATTGAGCAGTAATTCTCTGAACCTCAGAAATGTGTGGGACATTATCGAATTTTTTTTTTTTTCAGACGGAGTCTCGCTCGTGTCCCCCTGGCTGGAATGCAGTGCGCGATCCTCGGGCTCACTGCAAGCTCCGCCTCCAGGTTCACCTCCATTCTCCTGCCCTCCAGCCTCCTGAGACCTGTGATTACAGGCGCCTGCCACCGCGCCGGCTAATTTTTGTATTTAGTAAGAGAACGGGGTTTCACTGTGGTCTCGATCTCCTGACCATTCGTGATCCGCCCGCCTCGCCTCCCAAAGTGCTGGGATTACAGGCGTGAGCCACCGCGCCCGGCCTCGAAATTTTTTTAGTAGAGACGGGATTTCACCGTGTTAGCCAGGATGGTCTTGATCTCCTGACCTCGTGATTCGCCCGTCTCGGCCTCCCAAAGTGCTGGGATTACAGGTGTGAGCCACTGCGCCCAGCCATGCATGGTTTATCACTGTGGATATTGACTTTGATCACCTGTCTTGATGTAGTCTTTGTCAGGTTTCTCTACTGTAAAGTTTCTCTTTTCCTTCGCCCCTCCGTACTGTAGTCTAATGAAGGAAGTCACTGCATGCAGCCTGCACCTACTGAGTGGGGAGTTATCCTCCATGTAATTAAGGGTGAAGTATCTACTTAAGTTACTCAAAATTCTTCTGCATGGTACATTTGTGTCTTCTCTACAGTTTGTTAATTTATTCAATATATATATTTTTTGACAAGGAGTTTCGCTCTTGTTGCCCAGGCTGCAGCGCAATGGCAGGATCTCGACCCACTGCAACCTCTACTTCCTGGGTTCAAGCAATTCTTCTGCCTCAGCCTCCTGAGTAGCTGAGATTACAGGTGCTCGCCACCACGCCTGGCTAATTTTTTGTATTTTTAGTAGAGATGGGATTTCACCATGTTGGCCAGGCAGCTCTCAAACTCCTGACTTCAGGTGATCCTGAGGACCTCCCAAAGTGCTGGAATGACAGGCGTGAGCCACTATGCCTGGCCTCAATATATTTTTTACATCAACCTGGACTCGTGGATATTTGTTTTATACTTTGGGTTATAATCAAATACTACTTTATTTTGTGGCTCAAATTGTTTTAGCTTTGACTATTGGGCCCTCTTAGTTGACTGCAGGGTTCCCTGTGATACCCTCTCATTGTGGGTATTCTCTCTCGCTCGCTCACCCGCTCTCTGTCTCTCTTTGTACTTCCTGACTTTCTGGTACTATATATAATGC